TAATGAGTAAGACTAATTGATTATTAAGCACGATTAGCCTGGCAATAAGACCACCTTGGCATTCTGCCAATCCCTGCGACTTAGTTACGGGAAGTCCTTGCTTTGTTGAGGATCAGGGAATGCAGGACGATCAGAATGCCTGAACTAGGAAACTCCAGGGGACTCTGCATACCTTTAGTGGTAAGTGTGAGTGACGTATTTAGAATGTATACACCATTTGCACCCCCCAAGCATCCCCAAGCACCTGACTGAACTTTATTAAAAGTTTTCCACCACCTCTTAACATCTCCTGTTCTTGGGGGATGGGAAGTTGAGTGACAGGAGTGGTGGTTAGACCTAAAACAAGCTCCAATGAGTCGTCCTTCCCTTTCCACCATTAAAGTAGAAATTCAGCAAATCCTTTTAAAAGACAGCATTCAGCCCTGACCAGTTTGGCTCAGTGGATAGAGCGTCGGCCTGAAGACTGAAGGGTCCCAGGTTCGATTCCGGTCAAGGGCATGTACCTTGGTTGCGGGCACATACCCAATAGGGAGTGTGCAGGAGGCAGCTAATCTGTGTTTCTCTCTCATCGATGTTTCTAAGTCTCTATCCCTCTCCCTTCCTCTCTCTACATTAAATAAATAAATAAATAAATAAATAAATAAATAAAAGACAGCATTCAGACTAAGGCATGCATCCTAGGTGTTTAGGTGGGGGGATTGCTTTGGTATTGTCTTGAGGGAACAAAGTGTTGTTGTATCACATGTTCTTTTAACAAACATATTTTGAGGGCCTATCATAATGCAGGCACTGTGCTAGGTGCCGATATGTATAGGCGTGTTTGTTGCTCAGAAAACTCAGTCTTGTAGAGGGGAGAGAGATTTGTGTAAAGCTGCTTTCTGCAATATGGCTCATCAGATACCCTGGAAGAAACCTTCTGCTACCAAACAGCTAGACTCTAGATACAACACACTCTGTAATTCATGACTGAATTCACAAGAAATCTTCACGAATTATTCCCACCAACCCTCCCTACCGTGCACTACCCTTAAAGTGAGCTGAACTGGTTGCTGAGAATGGAGAGCTTTAAGCAAATGGGGAAGATGGAGTTGCCCTAAATGCAAATCCCAAAGGAAAGAATAGAAAATAACAAATTGTATCACAAATCACAAAGGTAGATATTATTCCCTAATAGTCTTCTTTCACTTTTATATGTGTATATATATATACACACATATATACATGTGTACACACCCATACATATTTTATATATGTGTTATATATATATATATATATATATATATATATATATATATGTGTGTGTGTTTCCAGTTGAGATATCCTATCTAATAATAGACAAAGATTGAAATTGACCGTACCTTCGCTATGCCTCCCATTGGCTAATCAGCGAGATATGCAAATTAACCGCCAACAAAGATGGTGGTTAATTTGCATACATAGGCGCGAAGCGGCGGAGCGAAGACTGAAGGCAGCTCCGGCCGGAGCAGCACCAGTTTTCCTCCGGCACCCGGGACCCAGGCCTATTGCACGAATCTTTTCGTGCAACAGGCCTCTAGTCAAATATATTAGAGGGCACAGTCAAAGACGTGTAAAAGCTACTATTCTATAAGATATAATAAGGTATGAAGGAAATAGTTGCCAGTTTAACCTGGGTGGTGGTTTTGGGGAACACAAACTATAGGTGAAATTTGTGTTGATTGTTGAACGATAAATAAGACCATTCTAGGTGGATGACAGGAAGAATAGACCAGGTTTTGAAGGAGGGAAAATCAGGAAAATGAACATGAAGCCATTAAAGTGGAATTTTTATCTCCATCTATACTTTCCCCTTAACACCCTTTGCTGCATCAATTCTAAGTAACCTAAGGTTGTTGTTTTTTAAGAATTTCACTTAAAAAGTTTGGCAGGCACCCTATTGTGAGGAAATACAAAGGTCATCCGAAGGACTTGGGACTTTATCCCATGAACAATACACAGGCACTGAAGGGTTTTCAATAGGGGTGTGATATGATTCATTTTATGGATCAGAGAGATACTTCTGGCAGCATCCTGGGGAAATATGACAGAGTAGATGTTAATGTCATATACCCAAATATGAATGAAGAGATGGCTTGGAAGAAGAAGAGGAGGACATTATTGTTATTCAGAGGATAATTATTATTAATTACAGTGTGTGGCAAAAGTAAGTTTACAGGTGAAACAAAGAGTTTATTCTTGTATTATTATTTATTAATTATTGTATTATTTTCCATGCAAACAACTATAAATCAATGTTTGCCCCCCTATATATTATTATCAATTATATTATTACTCAGAGCATAACTTAAATTATTCAGAGGATAATTTAAGTTTTCAATATGTGATAAATTATATTACCAATGAAATTATTTGCTGACCCTCACCCAGATTACCCATCAGATTGGTCATATGACTCTGTTTTGGCTGATGAAATGTGAGTGAATATGATGGAAACTTCAGAGCCAGCTTATGTGTCCCCATTATCTCTTTTTCCTTTGTCATGAGATTTGTTGTGTTCCAGCCAGAGGCTGCTCTGTTGGCCTGGCCCTAGAGTGGAGACATGGAGCAGAGTGTAGTCAACCTCTGTGGACAAGTAGAATCAGTGAGGAAGAAATCTTTGCTGCATATTTGTGGCAAATCTTTACCACAGCATAACCTAGATCATCCTGACTAATTCAAGATGCCTGTGGGAGCATTATATTTACATGGAGTTTAGCCACAAAATGTTTATTTTAAAAGACTAGCCATCTTTGTCTAGCTCTGTTTAGAAGCTTCTGGGAGTCACTATTTATTAGTCTTTGTCTTCAAGGAGTCATGAGCCTGCCTAAGTCATGAGCCAGGCTATAAAACAGTATGTCTACATCATGGAGACTACAGTAAAAAGGGGGCCCATAGAAAAGTACAGTGTCAAGGTGGTGGGGTGCATAGTTACCTTTTAATAAATTATGGGGGACAGAGCTCAGTTAAAGAGTACCAGCAATTGTGCTTTTATCTCAGTATGGATTTGCAAAAGAAGAGGGAAATTGGCTCAAGTATACAAAGAGAAAATCAATGAGGGGGCTCAAAGTAGCTCTGAAGTGGATGAGGAAGACCAGGAAGCCCTGGGGTTGCAGAGAAGTCTATGAGAAGGCAGAAAGAGAAGCTCAGAGGTCTGTGTCAGTGTATATTAGGGGCTGCCACGTGTCACTTAGGGTGAGTCCACATGGCTCTGAGCTGTCATGCACATGTACCTGTGAGCCTCCCCATCTGGGTGACACATTTCTGTGTATAGCATGTTTGCCTTCTAAAAGCCTTTTGGAGAAATGGAAATTAATGAGATTCTGTTATATGAATAGCTGACCCTGCCATACCTTGGTTGTGAGTATACTGTCATGTATGATAATGAGGAACATTCAGTCCTCAGGAAGTAGGAGGGGAAAGAGCTGCAGGAAGTGCCTCTCTTTTTCCCAGAAAGCCTGACTGCTTAGTGTGGAGAAGAATGAGGAATCCACCAGGCAGTGAATGTCATGAGGGAAGGACAATGATAAGAGAATAAGAAACAAAGGAAGGAGAAATAAGGAGAATCTAGTAAAAAGCCTTCTTGGGAATATAAGTGAGCATTCTGCTGGGGAAAATGGAAGGTCATTTTGAGAAAATGAGAAAATTTCAAAGGATCCAAAAATAAATAATATTCCCAAAGGGTTTCTCTATATACTTGTGTGGCAATACCATAATGTTCTGCTTCTTTTGTTCATTCGTTCAGCCATTCATTCACAAGCATTACTGGGGGGCGCATATGTGCCAAGCATGTGCTAATCACCAGGGACATAAAGATGGATAAGGCCCCATTTCTGACCCCAAAATGCTCTGGTCTACAAGGCATCTCCACCTACCTGTCTTGCATTTCGCTCCCTCTTAACTCACCTCTTAATCTGGGGAACCAGATTAAGTGTCATCATGCCTTGTATGATACAAGATGGGTTTCTTCACTTAATGCTAGAGCATGGACCAGCAACCCAAGGCCTGTGGGCCAGATCCAGCCCAAGGCCAGTTTCTTTATGGTGCTTGAGCTAAGAATAGTTTCTAATAGGGAAAAATAAGAAAAGAGGAGAGGAGGAGGAGCATAGAGACCATATGTGTCTGGTAAAGCCTAAAATATTTACTATTTGGCCCTTTTCAGGAAATGTAGAGAATAAACTCTTGTATCATGTTCATAAGATGGTTTGGATTGAGAATCTCTATCATCTCCAAGGACTCATTCAAAACAGGTCAGTTCAGCCAGATTATCCTTCTCCAGGAGAAATTGAATTTCCCACTATTTCCTAAGACTCTGATGGCTCATAAAGTTAGAAAGCTATTCTTGCTTTTGTAGCATCAGCAGAATTTCCAGGCAACTCCTCAGTCACAAGCTGCTGATCTCCAATGATCCAAAGTTAAATTCATGTCTTTACCTTCTGAGCATTAGGCATAAGGAAGGGCCACCACTCAGAAGTCTGCCCGGGCAGCTGAGGCAAACCTATTGGGAGAAGGTCTGCGGGTAGCACCCTGGGTTGATGTGCCTTCAGCCTCAGGTGGCAGAGGTCCCAGCACCCTGGATCCAGCTTGGGGAAAGTGACTGGAAGAAAGAGCAAAAGTCCTGTAATTTCACATATATATCTCTGCACCACCTTGACCCTCTGACCACCCCAAAAACAGGGTATCCCCCAAAAATGTATACACACTTTAACGGCTGATAGCTCAATTTTGAAAATGAAATGTATTTTTTAATATATTTTTATTGATTTCAGAGAGAAAAGGATAGGGAGAGAGAAACATCAATGATGAGAGAGAATCATTGATCAGCTGCCTCCTATAAGCCCCTACTGGGGATTGAGCCTGCAACCGGAGCATCTGCCCTGACCAGGAAACTAACCATGACCTCCCGGTTCATAGGTCCAGGCTCAACCACTGAGCCATGCCGGTCGGGTGAAAATGAAATGTATTTTAATAAACACTGCCTTTAGAATTATTCAAAGTATGTATATAAATTTTTGGGACATCCTATATAATTACAGCATACTTCAGACACATTTGATTGGCCAGCCCCTGCAGGGTGCACAACAGGCCTGTGTGCAAACACAGAAGCTAAGCAGGGCGCATAACACCAGGGGAGCCTACACTGGGGAAGGCTGCAGATCCTGGTAGCAGCAAAGGATAACTGCAAATTGTCCTACCTCTCAGGCAGTGGGGTGGCCCCAAATTCCTCTCATGGAAAAGGCCTGCATTATTTGTTCTATGTTTACCAATCCCCATCCCCAAGGAAAGACATACCACCCTGTCTTCCCTGCCTTGTCTTCAGGTTCACATTCTGCACCCAGCACTGGGTGGACGCTGTTCTTACTGCTGAGCCTTTTGTCAATCTTGTTGCATGTCGCCCATGGCCATCACTAATCCTTTTGTCTACAGCTGCACAGCAAAGATAGAGATCACTGCCAGAGCACCAACATCTTGGAAGAGAAAAGGCAGTGATAAATGAGCAGCATATCAGATGATAGCCTGTGTGTTACCCATCCTGGTTTGTTGACTTTTGTGGCTACTGTTGAGACGTGTTAGCAGTCATCCAGCAACACTGCTGTCTTCTGAATGTAGTTATATTATCTGATGTCGTGGCCTTTCCTTCAGGCCCAGAAACTTGGCATTGCTACTTTGGAAAACAGGGTACCTGCTCTGGGTGTCTTTCTAAAGCAGTGGTTCTCAACCTTCCTAATGCCGCGACCCTTTAATACAGTTCCTCATGTTGTGGTGACCCCCAATTTCATTGTTACAAATTGAACATAATTAAAGCATAGTGATTAATCACAAAAACAATATGTAATTATATATGTGTTTTCCGATGGTCTTAGGCGACCCCTGTGAAAGGGTCGTTCAACCCCCAAAGGGGTCGCGACCCACAGGTTGAGAACCGCTGTTCTAAAGGCATCTATTCAAATGGAGCCAGAGCTCTGTTCTCAGCAGATTTAGCCACCGTCTTCATCAATGTTTGGGAGGATAATCTGGGTCCCCCATGGGGCTGTGCTCCAATCATCATTTCTCACATCTGGAAGTTGCTTGGTTGTTGGGCCACCTTTCCCTTAGCATCATCCTTAGGCTTGCACAAAGGGGCTGCACTGGCTGTAATTCCCAAGAGTTACCAGTGAGGCTCAAAATACAGTTACCTGAGCTTGTTCCTCCTGGCAGGGCAGCACAGGCCTTCAGGGTGTCTTTCTCACTATGGTAGGAAAGCACAAATAGGAGTGAGATTTAGTCCCTGACACTTAATTTAAAAAATATGTAAAGGATGTAGACTTTTCTGGTCACCAGTAGGAAAGAGTCTTTCTTTTAGGAAAGAGTCCTTGTCTGTTCACATATTAATTCATTCAAGAGGTATCTATGGAGTCTGTCCCATGCCCTGCTCTGTGCTAGGCCCTTGGAATACAGAGACGCACAAGGCACAGGCTCTGGCTCCAGGAGCTCACAGGCTAGTGTGAAATCCCAAAAGATAAAGACTTTGCTTTAGACTTTTAAAACACTGCTCGTTTTAGGGATAGTCACAAATACCCTTGTTCCCCTCATTTCCCCAGCACCGGGTAGGATTGCATTTCTCTGCTTTCTTAGAAGTTAGACATGACCATATGACTGGCTTTAGCCGATGATCTGTGAACAGAAGTGGGATGTATCATTTCCAGGTGAAAGTTTTTAAGAGACAATGTGTGTTTATATATCCCATTTTTCCTGCTTTGGGAATTGAGGACGACTATGTAGAGATGGAGAATCTACCAGCCCCAGTTCCTGAGTGTCTAACAATGAGTAGAGCCCCTGGCCAACACACAGAGATAAACTTCCGTTTTGTTAAGCCACTGAGAGTTGAAGGTTGTTTGCAACTATCGCACAACCCAGCCTGTTTTGACCTATGCACAATGGCTCTGGGGAATAAGGCTTTTCCAGCCCTCTGTCACCCAAGAAGAGCCTTTTTCAAGTTAGGACCAAACTATGATGTGAGGAACACCTTGATATGTGGAATGTATTGGGGAGCCTCTAGGGCAGACAACATCCCCTGTAATAGCTGTGGGTCACAAAAGGATCTACCCTCTTCTGTGCTCATGGCTTGTAAGCTTCCCCACCAGAACTGCCTTTGATCAGTTAAAAAATTCCAGCATATGACATCCCCTGAGAGAGATGCCAAGAAATCCAGAATTTCCAGCAGCCTATGTTTCCCTCTATCACAGCCCTCATCACACTATTTACCTATCTGTCCACCTCACTAAATTGTGAGTCCAAGTGTAGGCCTAGTATGATCCCAAATTGTAATAGGTAGCCAATCTCTACATTTTAAATTGAGTACATTTTCAATGAATGAGTGAAGCCCTCTGCTGCTACCCTTGCACACTATGTCTTTGACACTATGTCCATTGAATAAGGCACGAAAAGGTGTATAATAGGCAAGTGTGTCTTTTAATTACCATTCCTTCTCTGTAAGGTCAGGGTGCCATGAGAAGAGTTCAGTTGTCAGAAGACCTTGGCCCTAGCATCCGCTCTGCCTCTCAGCTCTTAACTGTGTGATCTTAAGCAAGTCTTTTAACTTCTAAGTCCAAGTTATTGTGAGGTTTAAAGGAAAGAACGGACATGGTTCATAGACTGTCACAGATGAAAGGAACATCTGGACACTTACAGCTTATTTTACTCTGACTCAGCAAGGTAATGGCAGAACTAGGAACAGAGTCCCAGTCTTCTAAAGTCCAGTTTGGCGTGTTAAGGCTGTTAGTAAAAGGAATCTGAGAATTGATGACATCATGGGATATGCAAATAAGTTCATTAAAGAAATACCTTGATGCATTGCTTTGTGTTATCATGTGTTTGATTCTCCTGTTCTTGTTAGATTGAGGAGAACTGCCTTTTAGCCCACCCAACAGACACAAGTTTCTGCCTTACTCTCCAATTAAGTATTTGTAAAGGCTGAAGCCTGGTTGCAATTCCATTAAGCAGCTAACCCCCGGGCATCTATTTTCAAGGCTATGTAACACGCATTTTTCCCAGGCTAGGTAGCTTGGCCCTGTATCACCAGGGTGGATCTCTGCCCTATAGAATGTTAATATTTTGGCATAAATAGCTCCATGCTGAAATAGAAGAGTTGACTGGGATTTAAATAATATTTACATAAAATACACTCTGCCTTAAATAGTAATTGATGAACAACCAAAATCTCCTCTGTATCAATAAGGAAAATTATCAATAGCATTGTATAGACTGAGTGGCATGGATCTTGGGGGGCGGGACACCACCGTGAAGAGCATGAGGATTTGCATACAGAATATCATTTATATACACAAGTATTTAAGATAGGCCCTGTAGCATAATGTAAGGTAGCATGGCATGTAACCTATTGTGTGGTTTATGGTGTAATTAGATGTTAGGTAATAATCATTAAGTAGGCATGTAATCCAGATGTGTAGATGTTTTCTAGCCTTCATGGGTTCCCTTCCTAATTCTCAAATGATAATTGCCTGGGTATCCATTCTGAATATCACCATATTGCATACTCAGAAATTCATTCTTCAACTGGGTTTCCTCTCCATGTCATTGCCCAGCAGCCTTAAAAAATGCTCACATGTTACTAAAAATCTATCTTTTTAGTCCTTGACCCCTTGGGCAAACCTCCCTGCTGGTAACTAACTTATCGTTGCCTGGTACTTGACTTCTCCATGGCCCTACTACTTCTTCTGAATCTCTCTAGTCACAGCTAAGAATGGTCTTGAAACATTTGAATTTTGTTTTATCCGTTATATATACCAAATAGTTTAAAGAACCAAATAATACTAAAAAGCAGATTATTACAATTAATAACCCCTACTTGCCCCACTTTCTCTTATCAATTTCTTCCTACCCATAGGCAGTCACTTGTATATTAATAATATGCTTATATTAATATATGTTGGTTTATATGTTATATATATTTATGCATATATATTTATGTGCATATGTGTATGTAAATACAAATATTAATTTACCAGAGAATATTTTGCTCCCTTTAACTCTCACCTATATCTTCTACCTCCTTATCCCATACACTTTTCTCATCTTACCATCTTCTCAATGTAGATAAATTTAATTTTAGTTATATTAATATTCAGTTGTTATACTATTGTGGATATGGTAATACTATGCACAGATGAGCTATGAAATGTATTACTTTTACATTTGAACATGACTTTTTGTTTTCTTGGAGTCAATAATTGTTTATTTTGTTTAGTTTTTCCACAGAATTACCACTAATTCAGCTTCAAGCCCTCCACCTATAGCAGTGATGGCGAACCTATGACACGCGTGTCAGAGGTGACACACGAACTCATTTTTTTGGTTGATTTTTCTTTGTTAAATGGCATTTAAATATATAAAATAAATATCAAAAATATAAGTCTTTGTTTTACTATGGTTGCAAATATCAAAAAATTTCTATATGTGACATGGCACCAGAGTTAAGTTAGGGTTTTTCAAAATGCTGACACGCCGAGCTCAAAAGGTTCGCCATCACTGACCTATAGTCTGTATCTTTTCAAGTGTTCCAACAATTTTATCTTGAAGAAATCTCTCCTGGAGTCTTCTGATCTGCTCAAATAGGGACTCATAACTCTATAACTGGTCCATAGCTGTCAGCGTGAAATTTTCTGCACCATTACCCTAAGAATTCTCTTTCTTTTCTGTCCCATGATGGATTGTTAGTTTTCTGAGTCCACAGTCTTCCTTTCTGGATTTAGTCATTTGTTTAATCGTAACACATCATTTGCTAAGAAATGTGTCTGTAAATGTCTTTATTCTACCCTCACCCTAAATTTATTGTTTGGTGAAGCATAGGATTCTATGTTGAAAATCATTTCCCCTTCAGAATTTTTAAGGCATTTCTTCATTGTCTTCCAGCTTCCAGTATTCTTTTGGAGCTGTCTAAAGTCATCCTGATTTTGTATCCTTGTATATAAACTTTTTCCCCTAGACTGTAGGCATGTGGGGTGTTGACTTTGTTGACAAAACTTTATATAATATGCCTTGATGTGGGCCACTTAAATGGAGTGATGGAAGGAAACTAATATCCTTCTAGCCTGTGAAATTTATTTTAATGTTTTTCTTTAATACTATTTTTTTCCTAAATAATAATTGTTGTTGTTTTCTGGAGCTCTTCTATTGTGAGTGTTGGACATTATATAACTTTCTTCTCTTTTCTTCCTATTTTGCATCTCTTGCCTTCTTGTCCTATTTTCTGGAGATTTTCTCAATTTTATATTTCACCTCTCCCAGGTCTTTAATTTCTGCTATCATTTTTAATTTCCAAGAGCTTTCTTACTTGTTTTCTGAAAGTGTTTATTTTATACAATATTGTAATCTTGTTCTATAGATTTATTGTCCTCCCTTATGTCTCAAAATATCAAATATTTTAAGTGTTCTTGTGCCTGTGTAACCTTTGTTATCTCCAAGTGTTTCAATTTTCTTTTTGTATTTGACCTTATCTATTGCTTTCATGTTATGGGCTTCCCTCTGACGTGTATGGTAACCTTGGTGGTCTGTTTATATGTGAGAGTAGAGGTTGAAAATGCCGACTAATGGCTCTGACTTATTGGGTAGACTGTTGGTAGTGGGGTTTACTGTGGAGAGGATTAGCTTGGATGACAACCCCCTCCCATTAATACTTTCACTCTCTATGAGTTCCACTCTCAACTGCCAGTGTGCCCTCATTTTCATGACTTTTGTTCTACCTTCTCTCATCTTCTGCCAAGGTGGAAAAGAGGCAGTAGTCTAGCTGCACTGTGTGGGAGCAAGCATTTTGGCTTGTTAACTGCCTCCTTTTTTTCTGCTTCTTAAATAGACTTTCAACCAGCCTCCCTGTTATCAATCCCATCTTCACACCCACTTCCATAGTGACACTAATTTTGGAGTTCTTCAATGTAATTCCAATTACTTTTCAGTTTCTTCCACTCATTTCTCACACATTCTCAGGTCTGCTAAATCAGTTATCATTTATCCATCTGGTTTCCAACCTCCAAAATTTAATTGTCATTATGTCCTCTCCTATTCTTTATCTTTATGGACAAAGACTTTTTAAAAAAAAAAAATCCCCTTTCCATCATTTTAGTAGGGTTTAGGGGAAGTGAAAGTAAATATATGTAGTCAACCTGTTATCTTACCTAGAAACCAATCTGTAACAAACAATTAGTAAAATTGTTCTGAGGGCTTAGTATAAGAGATATACAACTCCAAGAGAGAATTCTCTAAATGCTACACTACAAAGCCACTATCTGGAAGTAGCTGGCTGAATTCAATTCTATAGGAATATTCAAACTTCTCTCTACCTCAAAATCCTGCCCCCTAGCTCCCTTTCAATCCACAGAAAGAAGATTCCCCCTTCCCTGGTCCAAAGCCCTCCTCTTTCCCTGCCCTAGGATGACCAATATTAGAAATATTTATCATCTTCAGCAAAATCCCCACCCTTATCCATGGGGTATAATCTGGCCTTACTGCTCCAGACAAGGCACTCATGATGTTCTGTATACATTTCCCCAGAGCTCACCGGTCCAATCTTGTGTGACACCATATGGAGGACATCAAGATTTCAGTATAGGTGATACTAGACTAATCCCATCCCAGAACCCATCCACATTCTTTTTCCAGCAATGAACGCAGAGATGCTCAAATTAGCATTTCTCATAATAATCTCCACATCCTATGAGAAAATACTTGGTGATTTACCCTACTAAACACACATTTTCAGGACAGAATCCAATCTATGTCTACATTAAAAAATAATCTCAACATCATAAAAGCACATTTGCTAAAGACACACATTTTACATTACTAACTCAATTATTTGGTCCCTCAGTCTACACCTGAATTCAGGTTCATCATCAATTTACAATGTTCTATAATATGATGAGTAGATGTTGCACACAATGTAGCATATCAGGGCCTTGGTTAAGGACGGCGCTGTGGATAGAGCTTGTCTTCTATGCATGAGCTATGGTTGAAGTATCATGTAAATATGCTTAACCAGACCAGGGTTCTGCCAGTTCTGGTTTGGATGAAATGCAAAATTTATGAGCCCTTTCTGATTGTATATCTACATGGAATAAAGGAACATTCTCCTGAATGGTGCTAATCAGAGACTAGGCTACCGTTCAATAGTTCTACTCTCTTGAATTTCAATTAACCTTCATACAGATGTGTTTTATCAGGTTAAACCATATGAAATTTCTGACATTCAATTTTTTTTGACCTACAAAAATTGCAAATTTTATATGATTGAATGCTATAGTGAGAAAAGTGCTTGGTGTCTAGAGGCTTGGTTTTGAATCCTGGTTCTCTTGCTCAGTAACTGTTAAGCTTTAGCAAGTCACTGGATGTCTTTCTGGGCTCCAGTTTTCAGATGGAGCCAACTATGTCTGCTGCAAAGGGTTATTGTGAAAATTAAATGACTGATGCAAACTGACACACCCAATACATAGCCACTGGCTAATGGTAAAAATACTTGCTCATCTATTACTTCATTTGATTTTCACAGTAGTCTTATAAGTTAGATATAGAAAACACAGTCTATTATTGAATTTTAAAGAGGAGGAAACTGTTACCTATAGAATCAAATCGTTTATACAGAATTACCTACCTAGCAAATAGCAGAGCTAGAACTGAAACATAGATATCTTGATTCTTGGTCTTGTAAATACATATTCCTCTCAAATACTGTGCTTCTTTCCAGTCATAAGAACATTGTAAAACAAACAAACAAAAACAAAATACCTGCAGGAGTTAACTAAGCTCCAAGATGCACAATGCAATGAAACACACAGCACTAAAACTGAACATTCTTGAAACTTTTTTTGTTTGTATAACAATAGGACAATGCTGTATCTATATTCTTATCCATTTAATCTCTACAACAATTTTTTTTTCCAAATAGACAGGCTGGAGTTCAGAGTGGTAATCATTTTTTAAAATCATTTTCACTGCATGGAAGATAGACCAGAATTTCCTGTTCACTAATCAAATGGGAACATAAAGGCTTAACTTTTTGGATTTGATGTGGTCCCTGATGGTCATGTGGATATGATTTAATAGACAGGAATTCAGGAGATCTGGTTTCTCCTGGTTCTAACACTGTGACGTTAAGCCAATCATTTAACCACTCTGAGCTTGCTTCTGTCTCTGTAAAGTACAAAAATTGTCTTCTTCTAGTTTTAACATTATAGAGTCCACTAGAGGCCCGGTGAACAAAATTCGTGCATTGGAGGGGGTCCCTCAGCCCAGCCTGCACCCTCTCCAATCTGGGACCCCTTGAGGGATGTCTGACTGCCTGATCGGGCCTAAACGGGCAGTCGGACATCCCTCTTACAATCCAGGACTGTTGACTCCCAACCGCTCACCTGCCTGCCTGCCTGCCTGCCTGCCTGATTGCCCCTAACCGCTTCTGCCTGCCAGCCTGATCACCCCCTAATCACCCCCTGATCACCCCCTGATCACCCCCTAATGGTTAGGGCCTAACCACTCCCCTGCCAGCCTGATCAACACCTAGTTGCTCCCCTGCCGGCCCAATTGCCCCTAACTGTCCTCCCCTGCAGGCCTGGTCACCCCTAACTGCCCTCCCCTGCCAGTCTGGTCACCCCTAACTGCCCTCCCCTGCCAGTCTGGTCACCCCTACAAACTGCCCTCTCCTGCAGGCCTGAAAGCCCACAACTGCCCTCCCCTGCCGGCCATCTTGTGGCGGCCATCTTGTGTCCACATGGGGTGGCCATCTTGTGTGTTGGAGTGATGTTCAATTTGCATATTACCTCTTTATTATATAGGATAATTCAGAAGTTTGCATTATATAACCAACTGCACTTATTTGGAAGTTACTCTGGGACAGGCTTGGGCTGCTCCGGGAAGGCATATGAACCTGGCTCCTGTTGCTGCCAGCTGCCACCAGAACACTATAACCATCTATGGGGGGAACCATTGTCAATGTTGGTCAGTGTCAAAGGCCAAGACATAGAGAGCTTGGAGAGGATTCTAAGTGAACTCTGGGTTCCCATAGCCTCTGAAGAGAGATCAGATAAAAGTTTAATTAAAGGAAGTCCTAGTAGATGTCCTGATCAGCTTAATGCTCCAGAGAGAATCCATTTCCAAACAATGGTGTGCACCTGTGTTGGGAAGATTATTCTGCCTGGAGAATCACCTCCAGTGATCACCCCAACACTTCCTGACATCAGCTTTTAGGGATCATCACCCACCAACTCTCAACAACAGGAGACCTCAGAATGGCTTTCACTATGGTGAGAGGCCATATTAATGAAGCTGGGGCTAGAACAGAAAATTCACATATCTACATTATATAAGGAATCTACATTATATAAGGGATGCTTGGACCATGCAACACCTCATTATTGGAGAGGAAAACTCCACAATGCACAAGATTGCTTCATATTGACAACCCATCTTGCTTTGTTCCTTCCATTTCTGCAGATTACAGAGAAGCTGATTCTTTGCCTGGGCTGGTTTCCTGTTTTTCCTGACATCTACTTCTCTTTGATTGATTTCCATTAGCTTATTTGGCAGTTGATCCACTGCTACTCTGATCATTTCCTTCCATGAGCTTCTACTTCCCCTTTCCTTTCATCCTTAAATACCTTGACCTGATCCTGATCACAGCATGTCTTGGCATTGTGGACCTTCTTTCTCACCCATGCGTGGTGACTGGCGTATTTCCCGTTTTTATCTGTGAGTGCATGCCTCTGTATGGGTGTTTGACAGCCTATAGGCATGGCATCATGGGCAGTGACTATGCCAGCTCTGATATGAATGCCTTGCCCTGCAGCCCTCAGAGCAGGGAATCACAGTGAATTTTCAATCCCCTTTTGTGACTGCGATTGACAAAGGAAGCTGTCTCTTGGTGTGGCTGTTTCATAAAGTCTTCTTCAGGGAGGAGGTTTGGGTAGGTGGTATTAACACTGAGATTCTGATCACACACTTACATGACTAATCAGATTCCCTCAGATAAAATCACTTCATATCTAGATAGATTTAATTTTCTCCTAATTCCCTGTGCCATTTACCACGTTTTATGTAAGTCAATGAACACTTACATTTTTCCTTTAGGTTCTGTCAGTCCCCTGGTTGCTAAATGTACTTTCTCTCAGTTTTGTTCAGAAATCCAAACCAGGAAATTCAAATACCCAGATTTATTTTCAGCCTCTCCAATGATGGTTTGTGTTAGTCATAATAAATCAAAAGCACTTTGAGATCCTGAAGTGTTCTATGAATCATCTAAAAAAGAAAAAAGCACCTTCTGACCCATTTTAGTGATGAAATTATGGTTCTATTGGTTCATTCGTTTAATGAACACCTATTTTGTGCAAGGCATGTGGTAGCACCTAGAGGGCTGATGGAGACATATCTGTCACAGATAACACATTCTAAGAAATTGTGATTCATTGTAAGATAAAGTAGATATAAATTATAATGGCCTAAAGGAGAAAGGCATTTCCCTAGAGAAGCAGAGATCAAGAATATAGGATTTCTGGAGAGGTGGGGGTAGGGAGAGATTGAGGAAGGCTTTACAAAGAGGAGGGAATTGACCTGAATCTTCAAGAAAGGGTGGGATTTGATATGAGAAATAGGGCAGAAGAAAATCTTAAGTAGAGGGAACATTGAGCATGGAGAAAGTTCAAGGTGTTTATGGAGAAATGTGTGAGGGGCACAGAAATAGGGGTGAAAATAGGTACTTTGGGAATATCATGAACAACCTTGTGTGGCAGCTTTATCCCCTTGGTTATGGGAGTTACTAAAGGTTTTCAGCTGGGGAAACATGAGTTACTCTTCAAGAAGATTAACCTGGCCGAAACCGGTTTGGCTCAGTGGATAGAGCGTCGGCCTGGGGACTGAAAGGTCCCAGGTTCGATTCCGGTCAAGGGCATGTACTGGGTTGCGGGCACATCCCCAGTAGGAGATGTGCAGGAGGCGGCTGATCGATGTTTCTCTCTCATCGATGTTTCTAACTCTCTATCTCTCTCCCTTCCTCTCTGTAAAAAATCAATAAAATACATATTTAAAAAAAAAAGAAGAAGATTAACCTGAAGAGATTAGAAGGAACAGAAAGGTAAAAAAACTGAGGCCATCATTCAAGAAGATGAATTTTCATTCTCTGTTAACTGGATTATATGTCAATACCCAGCTAATCAGAATACTGGAAATTGAAACTACCTATCTCCAACTACTCTGCATAAAGGGGAATGTGCTGTAATTGGTGAAGTGTGGGGTGGTGAAAGGTTACATGTCCTGCAATGTGACATCCTTTAGTTAGCCTGAGACATAATTATGAGTATCACAATGAATTAAGCATCAAGTTCACATTCTGATTCACTTTAAACAATTGGTCTGCAGCTATGAAAAGATGACATTTCATTAAGCAGGGGAGATTTAAAATGCTAAATAAGTTATATGAACCCAGGAAAGAGCCCTTTGGAAATTGCAATTCAGAGACGTGTTTAGCTACGGTTGCTGTCATCAAGAATAGCATCCCACATAGCACAGAGATAGGAGGAATTTAGCTGCAACCATCAACAATTTAACTCTTGGAGTCTCTGTTTTCACCACTATTTCTGTATCCCTCACACTCTTCTCCATAAACACTTTGACCTTTCTGGCCCCAAGTGCTGAAGCAGATTGAGTGACAGCATTTTTAAAATTTATTTTATTTTTTAGAGAGAGAGGAAGGGAGAGAGATACAGAGATAGAAACATCAATGAAAGAGAAACCTCATCGATAGGCTGCCTCAGCATGTCCCACATTGGTGATCCAGTCTGCACCCCGGGCATGTGCCCTCACCTGGAATCGAACCAGCAACGTCTTGGTTTCTTGGTCAAAGCTCAACCGCTGAGCCACACCAGCTGAACACAGAGCATTTTTAATAAGTGTAGCATGTGACTGGTGACTGAACACAGATGTTATAGCAAAACTGTTGTTATTTAAGATAGTTTAGCACTTTATATTTATTATGTTTTGATTAGCACTTCCTAATTTTATTTCATTTTATTCATTTGTTTTTATTTTTTTGCATTCCCCATCCCATTCCTCCTCTTCTCAGTGTGCTGCTGTCTGGGCCAAAACAATTTTCAAAATTAAGCCCTAAAGTGTCAATTCCCTTTTTTAGTAGATTCCCCAACTAACTAGTTAATCTCCTGCTCTCTCATTACTTTCTCCCTTAATGAAGATAGGTAGTAACATTCTCCAGAGATGATCCTGCCAGCATTTATATTTCTTCCAAATTAGAAGAGTAGGCATCTCTCCAGATCATAAAGAATACATTTATTTTAAGGTACAGTGGAGAGAACGCACAGAAATTACAGTTTGCTTAATGAGAGCCTCAGTAGTTTGCAGAAATTGTAGCTTGTGCAGAAGGTTTCAGCTTCATGCCTGGTGCTCTGGTTCAATATTCTCATAATCTGGCCATTAGGTGTTAGGTTATAAAACAACTCAGAGTTTGGAAACAGAGGAAACTCAGGACACATTTTATCTGGGAGTTTCAGTATCTCTCCTGTGCTCTTCCTCGAATATGTTTTCTCTTTGTTAATCTGTCTCTCTCTCTTTAGGGTCCTCCCTTCATTAATCTTTTAATCTCTGTATCTCTGCCTCTTTGACCTTCTCTTGTGTTTCAAATCCTGGGTGTTTTTCTTTCTCCTGGGTTTAGAAGCTTTGATCTCAACAACTGTGGGTAGTACCCACATTTCCAAGGATTATGAAATCCCCAGTCTGGATTCACGTGGACATTGCTAAATGTGTTTCCCCAAGCACAAGAGTTTGGCACTTCTGTTTCAATGATGAAATATAGAGACTTGTTCCATTATGTGCCAGGTGCTATGTGACCTGTGACATATGTGAGTTCAGTAACTCTTGTCAACCCTGTGAGGCTCATGTCACAGAGAAGGAAGCTAAATTATGCCTAGAGAGATTAAGTGATTTGTAGTTAGTCGCAGAATTAGAATTCACTTCTCATGTTGCTGTGTTTCCTAGTCTGATCCATGTGTTTATCTGCAGAGGCTTATAAACCTCCCTCAGTTGGATATAAAAGTAGAATGCTCATTTAGGGGCTCAAGAGAGGCCAGGTCTTACTAGATTTACCATTAAACTGAAAGAACATTGGTCTACTTAGGCCTATAAAGTGTTAATTACTGGAAAAGCTAGAGATTCAAAAGGTTTAGTGGGAGAAGTCAGTGGTTTAGTAGCAATGTAGAGCATCTATTGGTTGGATTAGGGTCCTTTGACTTCAAGCAATTAGAAATTCTTTCTAATTTAAGTTTTGTTTGGGTTTTTTTTTGGGGGGGGGCGTTGTTTAATTTTTATTTATTTATTTATTTATTTATTTATTTATTTAAGTTGCAAGATTTTTTTTTTTTCAAGTTTATGGTGGCTGCCAAAATTGAAGCAATGCATAAAGGTGCCAAACAGATTTGAGAGGGTCAGGAGCCAGTGCAGCTCCAGGAATCCAGAACACAGGAGTCAATTGATGGTCTTGTGAGGGTGCAGCCATAGGACAAATTAGCTCCAACTGTGTTTTCCATCTGCTGATGATGCTAAGTTCCAGGGAGAGTCCAGTTGGAGCATCATGACTGGTAGCCCCACCAGCAAACATAATTGCCAAGAACTTTGAGAATATCAAGGCAGTTATCCCTTTTTTCCTGCCAGCTGATTGAAGTGCAGATGTTCTTCATTTTATACAACCCTCTGGCACCAGCCCACACTAGAAGATTCCCTCTCCTCCGCCACCACCCAGAAAAGCAAACACCTTCCCACCTCTGTGTTAACCCATGAAGTTTTCCCTCCCACCCATTCCTCCTCTGCCTCCCAAACTTGCTAATGCCCAATCTCTAATCAAGTATTGGCCACAACAATTGGGGAGGCAGGAAGCATGAATCAATCTTTGTACTGTTTCTAAGTTGGTGTCACCATGACAGCATCAAAACAAATGGAAGGGAGAAATGAAAGTTTAACAAGAGTGTCCCCAGCACCTGGTATGGGCAAACCCCCATTCCCAGTAGATTAAGACAGCCCCGCCTCTTCTTCCTTTCCTCCTCCCTATTCCCACCTTTCATCCCACATGAGATCATTAGTCCCTGCAGCTACAAACTAGACTGGTCTAGTCTTTTGATCACTCTGATTTCTCTGCAGACAAAGAAATGTAGCTGAGTCTGATTGTCTCACACTGATAAAAAAAAAATAGATAATTAACCCTTTTCTGCTGACAAAAAAGAAAAAGTGTCACACACTCACACACACAGTGAGCAAAAGTAGGTTTACAGTTGCGAGCACATGAAAGATTTTATTCTTATATTATTTAGTAATTATTGTATTATTTTCCATATGAACAACTGTAAACCTACTTCTGTCCCACCCTGCACACACACACACATATTAAATGCACTTTTAGGTGACACGTGGCTGCCCCCTCTTGATTCTTATTCTCCCATGGTCTTTCTCCCATGGAGCATTTTCTTTCATTTCCTTCTTTCTTTATTCTGTCTGTTGTGCCTTCCCTACTGCTTTCTTTTCATCCTTATTCTTTTGGCTTCTTTGTTTTTTTCTCCTCCCATATTGAGATAAAACTGAAACTACAGAAAGCCGCTGCCTAAAGCTAGTGAGAAGCCTTGCGGGTGAACCTCCCACCACAAATCAGACTGTCCTCCTTGTGTTGACTCCACGCCCTCTCTAGTGGACCTGCTGTCTACATATTTCCACGCGTATCGCGGGCCTCTCCACCAAACCAATTTCTTCATGGGTCACCAGGGAAATAAAACCTACAATGAAAACGATAGTATTGGTTTTCCGTTTCACTTTACTAGTAATAAAATCATAGAACTTCGCACAGAAAGAGCCCTAGTGCGCTTGAACCACAAACCACATTGGAGAAGGGAAAGCCACACGACTCTTCCTTCTAATGATGCAAGCCACAGGCCAATTCAAACCTGAGCTCACTTTATAAATGTCAAAGCTCAGAATAATTTGTATCGGGTGGGGTGGAGGCAGTAGGGAAAAATAAAAATCTGCTGAAAGTGGCGTGCAAAAGAAACGCAGAAGATGACCTAAACTGATTGTCAACACTGAGAAATCCGAAGTAGTTGGAGAGGAATTGTTTCAATGTTTTTGGAAGACTGTATTACCATGGCAAATCAATATGAAACTTAAGTGAAATTGACATGGGCAGATGGAAAAGGAATGTTTTAAAATTAGCTCACACCACTAACTTGTTATGTGGTCTTGATCGGTTGCTTAACCTCTCCTGACCTCATTTCCACTGTTTATAAAATGAAGGAGAAAAAAAACTGTTAAAATTGATTATTTCTAACAACATTTCTAACTCTAAAATTCTATAATTC